CCCAATAAGGTCCCCAAGTACGTGAGGGTATGTAACACTTCTGAGTCTGGTGGAAAACTGGAGCACACATCTGAGTATGTAAAACAGAAAAAAGAGAAGCTTTGGAAGAAAGCCAGTGATATCTATCCCTGAAGAGCTAGCCCTTCTTCCTCTGTACCTCCCTACATTCCTTCTTTCCTTCCATCCTTCTTTCCTTTCTTCCTTCCTTCCTTCCTTCCTTCCTTGCTTCCTTACTTCATTCCATCCTCATTCCTTCTGTCCTTTCATTCCTTTGGTTTTTGATTCAGGTTGGTACTTAATCCCACATGTCCTTGAAACTTCAATGATTTTCCTGCCACAGCTTTGTGAGTGCTGGGATTAAAGATGTGTGTGCCCACACCCTGCAAATCACCATTGTTTTTTTTTTTTTTTTTTGTCAATGGGGATAAAGTTAAACACAATGAAAGAGAGCAAAATTGGACATAAGAACTCAATGTAAAAGATATAAATTTCAAAACTAGATAATCTGAGATCTTCCCTATCTATCATATTGTCTCTTGTTTTCTTCCAAATAGTTGTCCATGTCTTGCCATACAGAGAATTCATACTGAGCAACCTAGGATAAAAATTAATCCAAACAGTATGAGAAAGGAGTTTTAGGTCTTTAAAATCAGACAATAAGGAAGTCACTTATGGCTGTGCTAGAATCTCTGGTTTGCTTCAAAATACCTGTGCATACTTTCATGTATGTGGAAACGCAGTTAAACACAACCAGCTTTTAAAAAAAGACCGTATAATATAGAACAAAGCAAAACATGTATAAAAGTATGGGGCTTTAAAGAGATGATAGAAGGAAATCTTCTCTTTACTACATGGCCTACGGTCAACCTCTCAATAGATCTCCAGATTACTGGCTCCCACTTGCTAATGGGAGGGGGCAGAAGATGTGATGTTTCTTTGTCAGCCTGCCGGCTGGCAGGCTCACAACTGCTCACGCTGGGAACAGGGTTTGCTTGCACTCCTGGCACTCCCACCATGACCCATGTCCCAGGAAATGCCAGTGGAACTCAGTATTTTTACTAGTTCCAAACATTGGGTCCAAGGAGTGAACTGGGTTAGTAGGAAATCTAAGATCTCTGAGCAAGTAGCATTTACAGTTATCCCACACTAGACTTTAGGTTTAGAGACATTCTGCCAATATTCCCTGTTTATACCTGTCCCAAATCCATGTCCCTTGCTCCCGACACTGTATCAGATGACCCAGAAGAACCACCTCTTCCCTCCCAGTACACCTATTTCTCATGGAGCCTTGAATCTGATCCTTTGACATTACTTCCCTGCAACTGGGTTTCACCCACATGTGATCCTAAGTGAAAAGTTGCCTTAGTGACCTCTCTGTCCTGCTTTGCTCCTTACCACCAGAAAGGAATAAAAACAGAGGGCCTACTGAGAACAGTGGCATGCTGGAGTTACATCCTGCACCCAGGCCTCTCATCTTCTGTCAATGGGAGGAAGAAGATAGACCAGAGAACTCCCCCATATGAATGAGAAAAAAGAAATTCTTGGATAGTAAAACAGAATGTTTTCATACACATATGGAAAACACAGGTAGGATGAAAATTGACTGACTCTCACATTTTGAGTGAGACACACCTAGGGCAATTGGATTAGAATAGGGTGGGAAGAACCACCATAGGGTGGATCCTATCCTAAGAGTTATAAAAGGGACACCAAGAAGGAAGAATCCTTTCGGTTTCCATGATGAGGCTGTTCCCTGCTCGAAACTTGGAAAACATATCCTTGCTTCCAGCCCAGATGAATTAGCCTCCTGAAAGCAACTCAGAAGAGACTCAACAAGGCTTCATATTTTCAGATCTGTGTTTTTGGTGAGCTATTTCTTTGAGTGATCAAGAAACATTTCAGAATTGTCTTATATACTAGGAAATCTCAGTCAGCTTAATTCTAAATACTTATTTCTTTTAATCTATACATTAGGCTCTCTACTTGTGATTGCCATACTGCCCTGCCTGGCTTGGAACTGCTGACTGCAGTGAAATTTGTGCCATCTGATGAAGAAGAAATTTGATTCCTGTGACTTGACAAGCTTGCTGCACTTTCACTCTCCTGATGTTAAGGGTTTCCAGTACCGCAGGCCCAGCAGAAATGTCACAGCAGTCAACAGTGGACAGAAGGTACACCACAGATATCAAAGTAGTAAATGTGTCCTTTTTGTGGACCATTGATAACATTAGATTTTGCCTAAAGGAAATAGATGACTGCATTCAAAGTTCAATGTTTTCAGCTGAAGGAAATGATCAAGTGAAATGGCGCTTACTAGTCTACCCAAATGGGCTTGATGAAGAAAGCCAAGATTATCTGTCCCTATACCTGGGAATGATCTGCTGTCCAAGGAGGGTAGCTCGTGCAAAATTCACCTTTTCCATTCTGAATGCCAAAGGAGAGAAAACAAAAGAGCTCTCAAGTCAACAAGCTTTTACATTTGTGCAAGGAAAGTGCTGGGGATTCAAAAATTTCATCCTTAGAGAGTTTCTTTTGGATCCAAACAATGGGCTTCTCTCCAATGACAAGCTTTCCTTCTTCTGTGAAGTGAAAGTAGCACAAGATCCCACCAATCATTCCAGCCAGAATATTAGGAAGCTGGATAAGGTTCCTGAGGGCTGCTTGGCAGAGGATCTAGGAAGACTGTGGGAGCGATCCCAGCTCACAGACTGTTGCTTGTGTGTGGCTGGCCAGGAATTCCAGGCTCACAAAGAGATCTTAGCAGCTCGCTCTCCAGTTTTCATGGCGTTGTTGGAACATGAAAAGCAAGGAAGCAAAAAGAATCCTGTTGAAATCAGTGACATGGATCCTGAAGTTTTTAAGGAAATGATATACTTTATGTACACTGGAAAGGCACCAAATCTAGGGATCATGGCAACTGAACTGCTGGAGGCTGCAACCAGGTTTGGTCTGGAGCACCTGAAGCTCATGTGTGAGAACCACCTCTGCAGCAACCTCTCTGTGGACAATGCCGTGGAAATCCTCATCTTGGCTGACCTCCACAATGCACATCAGTTGAAAACCTGGACACTGGATTTCATCAATTGTTATGTTTCTGACATCCTGGAGACCTCTGAGTGGAAGGCCATGGTGTTGTCACACCCTCACTTGGTGGCCGAAGCCTATCACTCTCTGGTTTCCATGCAGTGTGCATTCATGGTACCCCCATGCAAGCCTCTGAGACTGTCCTAAGATCCCACATCTCCATTTATCTTCCCAAAACCGTGGCCACATTTGCTGCCACTGAACCATAATATGCTAGGGCAATCTGTGGAAACTTCACTCTTCTATGTGGAAAGATTAAATTGTGCCTCGCTAGGGGAGAGAAGGGACCACCATCTTAGGGTCAGAAAAAGGAAATGGGATCTTGAGAATTTTGAAGCCGTGTATCATGCATTCTGAAATTTGTGTTTTATAATATTGTGCAAAGTGTTTTTTTACAATGTTGATGCCAAACTGAATTCGAAACTCCTGGCAATGTTGCAGACCAACCTGGGGTGGGGCTACCCTTAGAGGCAGGGACCATGAACTTCACTCTGTAAATGCAAGACTCTTTCCTGGCTTTCTGCACCATCATGCATCCCTGGGCACCCCACTTGTAACATGGGCTTTTTACTGTTCCACACTTTTCTCTATAAATGAACCTGAATCTTACTTTATACAGTTGTTGGGCTCCTCATCCTTTTTCTGTATGTTAGATCCAGAAGCTAAGAAAAATTTCAGAGTGTGCTGATGATTTCAGGCCCACCCACAGTATGAACACAATGGATGAACAATGTCACTAATTAACATAGTAGATGGGAGAAATAAATGACCCAGAACTCAGGCTGCTGAAGCCAAAGGACAATCACATGATGCAAATCTTTGCTCATGTTGTCCTGTCCCAGTGACACAGACAGGCAGCACAAGAACTACAGCACATTCCCTCAAAATCTAGGCCTCTGATCGAGCAGTCCAATTATGGTCTTGGAGAAAAAAGAGAAGAAAATGCTCAGATTTATGAAAATGGCAAAAAAGGGAATTAAATGTAGAAACGTTTTATGTATTTCAGAGGAATTCATCTTGAGGAAGCAAAATTTATAACTTACAACTGCACTGAGAAATGGGTGTTGGCAAATTAACATTATAAATCTCATAAAGAACTTTCTCACTGTGAACATTTAATATCCGCAACAATAGAATACATGTTTCTATTGTATTATGAAGAATAGAAGTAAAATTAAAAGTGAGAACGAAGTGGGTTTCATCTCAAATTTTGGACTTTTGTAAAAATTGCTTGTGGTGTTATTTTGGAATCACCTAGACTCTGTAATGGCTCAGAGCTTTTAAAAATATCTAAGGAAATGAATCCCCTTGTCTTGAACAGGTACAGATTTCAAAACATTTGTTTAATGAGGGCTTATAGCTGGTAAACCTTTATATGCTGGTTGTGTAAATCTTCTTGAATATCAACATTGGATAACAACCTGTAAAACAATTATGCAGTAAAATCACTAAGAGTTCTCTCTCTCTCTCTCTCTCTCTCTCTCTCTCTCTCTCTCTCTCTCTGTCTCTCTCTCTCTCTCTCTCTCTCTCTCTGTCTCTAAGTGTATCTATCTGTCTGTCTGTTTATCTATCTCTATTTTTCTTGGTATTTATCATGGCTTGAACTCACAACTCACAACCCGGTTATTGCTAGGCAAGTGCTTCTTTGTCTCAGTTTACTGCCTGACTTTTGCAGATATTTGGCATACATATGTCCTATTCTTGTGTCCTCACTCCTAGAAGTGTCGCTTTTTCCCCTCAAGCAGGCTGAGATGGTTGAAAATGAGACAAAATAATTCACTCTGTGTGCATATTTCTCGAAAAGAACGATGGTTCTTAGATGTTGTGGGAATATGTGTTTTGGTATTATCACCCTCAAGTTTTATTTCACTTCCATTCTCTCCTCCTCATTAAAGAGAATAAAACAGGAAAAACTTTAAAAGAGGAAACAAGGAAATTTTTTATTAATTTTGGTGTGAAAACTTTGAGGACACAGATTCCTCAGCTGTCCATACCTGACTTGGTGATTATGTAGGAGTCATCCCAGTTGCTTTGGAATTGCTTTTCATTCTACAAGGGAGAACATTCAAATGTTAATATTTTCTTTCCAAATATGTAAATAATTGTTATCTTTTAAATGAAATGTGGAAATTAAAAAGTATGAGTTTCTATCACTGCCTCAAATGAACAACAAAAAACATAGAAAATAATTTACAAAGTCTAATTTCCTCATAGTGAAACGAATGGAGCCAAGTGGATTAGGGCAGAAGATTTTTCAGGGCAAGCACAGGTCTTCTCAGCTTCTCTGAGTACAAATATGTGTTACAGTGACTTATTGTCAAGCACTTCATAGTGATGGAAGTTATACTGAGTGTGCAAATTGACCCTAAGAATGTTTTCCTTGTAGTTCTAGAGAGGAACCAGGCAAGATTTGCAACTTAAGTGGCTGAAGGGCAAACAGTGAGACATAGCGCTATATTAAAACTCTTGTGAGAATGACATGCCAGCTGTTAAGCATTAGGAGTTAGGACTGAGAATGCTTGTTCATTTCCTCAGTTGGTGTCACAGTTGCGAACTCTTGAAGGCTGATGTGCTCCCGTTTCCAGAAAACAATCATCCCTCTGTGATGTCGGGATTCTATGGGGGTTAATGCTAATCCAACATTACTAGCAAAAGATTTTTTGGAAGACACCACTTGTTTGACTGCTTATTTCTAAGAAAAATATATGACAGAAGATGAACAAGAATTTGCCATAACTTTACAGGCATTCTGAAGCAATGAATTCACCAACTGCATTTGGCAAGCACTGAAAGGCCTGCCAAAGTCCCTGGAGGCACCGACTTACCAGTATCATCCAAAGTTGTGTGTCACACATTCTCTAGCTACTAGTGAAGGCATCTTGTGACTCTTCCAACTCTTATGTGCAAACAACACAATAATAAATAAAGTATCTATCCAGGAGTCCCAGATGATGAAAGTGGTAGGAGACTAGTGACAAATAGTAAAATTGCTTGACCCATTTCCTTTCCTTCATTCCACTCTAATCACAATATGACTGATTATTTATGTGTATAGTTAGCATGTAGTGATCTCTCAGTCAGCAAATCACAAACCCTAGGAAAACATGGAACAGATTTAGAGTTTTCTAACCAAAATGGGATGCAATAGGAGCCAAATGTATCTGACCTTGAAAGCAGGCACATGGATTAGCCTCATCACACCTCTGTGGAAGACATCCGGGTCTAAATTCTTAGGTACTATAACCCTGAATCTTTCAAGATTCTGTTCCTCTTTACTTTCCATTTTGCACTTGTAATTCATCCTACTCTTGATGTTGTCATCTTGTAATCTCAATAAACAGCAACTTACTATGTATCACAAGGTATATGCCAGGCAATACTCTTGTATCTGTACACAAGAATGTGGAAAAATTTTTGCTCATTCAGTTCTAACACAGTTCTAGGGCTGGATTAGAAACAAAAGCAGCATTTTCCCACCTTTCATCAGCCTGATTTAAAAGGCATTGCTACACAAAGAGAATTCGTGAAAAAATGTACAAAATGTTCCTACAAGGCTGATGACATTTTCCATGCAAATGGAATTCCACAGTGTATCCAAGGAAGAAACTTATTCAATATTCTAAGAAGGGTTAATTTTGGAAAAATTTTACCCTATTTAAAAGGGACTTCAAGAGCTTGCCTTTCATTAGCTTAAATATACTTTGTGTGTGTGTGTGTGTGTGTGTGTGTTTGTGTGTGTGTGTGTGTCTCTAATAGTGTTATGCTCATATTTATAAAAGAAGCTGTAGAGAAGAAAATTTATTGCAAATTACATATGATTTCTATTTTTCTTGTCATTTTCTTCCAGAAAGTATCTTTTTAATGTAGAAATATCAAAATCTACACAACAGAATTACAACTAGTGCACATATCTTGCATACAATTCAGGACCTAAAATTAACTAAGAGAGCATAGCAATGATGCTTGTTGGGTATTGTACTGATATGGGCATTGAACCTATTTCGGTTATGCTAGTTATTGCAGAATCAGGAAATCATCAACACTAGTTAGGGGAGATGTGTGGACCAGGGGACTCTTGTTCATGGTAACTGTGGCAGCTGGTGAGCCCACTGGACATTGTTGAGAGACTCAGCAGTGGAGCTAAGCAGCGGGCATTGAGGTCTTTACTGTCTGGCACAGAATGGAGAAGGATTTTGTTATTCAGAGGGAGGGAATGTTTGACGGGAGCCATGTTGAAGTGAAGTCAGATGAACCTTAACCAGAACAGCTGCTGGCTTCCTTTAGAAGATCCTAGTTGGGTGCAGAGGCATGGAAATTGATTGGACTGAGCTTATTCCAATGAGTCTCATCTTGAGGAAGGCTGGCTAATGCTGTCTACTACTCCATCATAAGGCAGTGCCTGGTTTGAAGGGAAAGAGTGGCAGGACTCAGAACACTGTATCCTAGGCCATCTAATAATGAATCCAGAGAGAATCCTGGAAGAGAACGATTTTTTTCATTCATTTTTCTTTTTTTTTTTGTTTGGTATTTTCTTGTTTTATTCATCTGCTTTTTATTTCTCCTTTATTTTGTTCTTAATTTCTGAGGGTGACTGTGATTCCTAACTTCCTTGTGGGTATGCTCTTTGGATCCCTCACCCAAAGAATAACAGTTAGAGGATTTTTGACCTTGTGCATCCAAATCTAAAGTCCCTTTTGAAACACTGCAGAATTTGGGCTAGAAATAAGTGACAGAGGAAGAATCAGAGTCCTTGCCAACCAAAGAGAGGCAGACTGCACTCATGGGCAAAGCTGCAGTCCTTCAGGATTGGGATAAAGTCTGACACATTTAAGATACAGAAGAGGACAATGAGAGCTAAACAGATCATAGGATCACCTACATGATGCACAAATTTCTTGTGTATACAGACTCCCTCATAAAGGAAAACACAGCAGTGAAAATGTTGGATTTACTGTGGATTCACAAAGGGCAATGAAGAAAACTGGAATTGTCACTATCTGCTGCATATGATCAGAGCATGTGAATACTGTATCACTGTGTCAGGGAAATACACAAACAGTGGGCACAGCTTGTAACTATGAGCTAGGATTGCATGAAGCAAAAATTGCAGAGTATCTGGTGAGCCTGGGTAATGAGAATGGCACAGAAGTGACAAACAGTAGGTTGACAATTATGGTAACACTGCATACAATTCTGGAGATGAATAAAAACAACAAAAAGCATACATAATGTGGGTATTCTTCAGTCACTCTGAAAAGTACCCAGGTGAGCAGATTCCCCAACAGTATGAGGACATACTGCAGCAGATATTGCAGCTGCCATGGGAAATGCAAGAAGGCAAAGAAGATAAACTGAAATAAAGTTAATACTTTTACAAGATGCATATGTGTTGTACCTGCCAAGACCCAAATCAGAATGAAGACAAGTGATGAAAAGATAGATTGTGAAAAAAAAATAAAATGAAACTTAATAAACCTATGTACTGTACTTTTTTCTAATCAATTCAATTTTAATGACCATAACACTTGACCTATACATTAAGTTCTTGAGGCAAAGTTTAGCAAATATGTAGGTTTATTAACACTGACTGTAGAGAACAGCATGCATTTGGATCAGTGTACACAGCCATGATCAGTGTATAATCCTTCTAATAGTGAGAATGTTCTAAGAAATAAACATTTGGTTGGGAGAATTTCATAAATGTATTCTCCCTGGGTGTCTGATCTTTAATTTATTATTTAATTAGGTTTTTTCTTTTTTTGGTGCTAGTGAGCAAACACATGACCTCATGCTTACCAGGTAGGCACTTGACACACTGAGCTAAATCCCCAGCCCTTGATTTTTTAATCTGTACTATTACCATTATTTTCTTCTACACAAACAGCAAAGATAGAAACAATGCTACACACTTGCAAATCCAGTTTCCTGGGAGTCTAAAGGAGGGGGAGATCACAATATAATCAGTGGAAAATTCAGCAGGAATTTGTAATTGTAAGCACCTAGCATAGAATCTTAAATATCTTGTAAAATTTCCCTAAAATTCAAGTAGTAAACAGCATAACTCTACTCAGTGAAAAACAGACTTAACTCAGTCATGTTTTCATTTTTATTTATTTCTGTGTTTTAGGGTCAGAGGGGTACTGGGAATCAAATTGATGACCTTGTGCTTACTAGGCAGATGATGCAACACTGAGCTATATCCCTAGCCCTCAGTCATGGTTTTAGTGGAAAATTTTATGGTACAACAGAGTAGAATTAAAAATTGTTAATTCTAATGCATTCAGAAATATTCAGAATACAGGTATGGATGTATTAAACTGATATATTCAGAGTATAGGTATGGATGTATTTAGACTGATGATGCAAGTTATAAATATTTTTTCAAAAAATCAAGACTCTGCCTGAAAATACAAATTCTTCTGTCAAATACAAATTATAAATGTGATATAGACTGTAATAAAGCAACGTTAGAAGATACAGCTTTACAATTTCTTTTTTTCTTCAGTGAACAGATTGAATATTGGACCTCAGTCACAGTGAGGCTTTGCTCTAACACTGAACTACTGAACTCAGTTGCTTTAGGTACTATGAGACAAAATGCATTTTTTTCCACTTTTTTTAAACAGTCTAATTCTAATTCTGTAGTTCAGGTTGGAACTGAACTCACTGTATAGCTCAAAATGGCCTCAAGCTCATACTGATCCTCTTGCATCTGAATTCCAAGTGTCAAGATTTCAGTTGTACACCACTACAGTCCATTTCAAAACATATTCTTAAATAAATAGCTTTCAAAACATATTCTTAAATACACAGCTTCAATAGTAATTCATGAAATAAATTGAAACATATACAAACACAAGTCTGCTTTCATGCTTACCCTAAGAACAATCTGAGTTTCAGAGACCTTCTATATTATAGATACTATTATTGGCATACTGATATCTCCTGCCTCTTTTCTACCTCCTTTGGTCCTCCCTAAATAAACAAACAAAAAACCTCTTTATACCTAATCATTGATATGCTGCACAACTTCTGTTTTAGGCTTTTCT